CGCCCACGCCAACCTTCGCTTATCTCAAGATCGCGCCACGATCTCCAGTCTAGAAATTAGCCACATGATTGGCTGCCGTATTAAAGCATTCGCCGGCATCCCGGCGATTCCCAATGCTCTCGTCACTTCGAAATTGACGCCCTCGCAACCGGACTACAGTCATTCGAGAGTCAAAATGCTTTCCATCTATTCTCCTATCCTTCTGTGCAGAATGCAATATTCCTAACAGTCTGGCCTTCCAAAGACTTCCCCTTCTCTCCTAAGGAACCATGGTCTGAAGATCGCAGTTGCTAGGGTTTAGCTAAAATAACCCCCTGCGATAGTCACTCTAGTAACGGGGGAGTAGATGCACTGCAGGTCTGCTTGGCGACTGAAGCAATCAAGTCCGTCTTGCGCTCACTTCTATTCAACAGAGAAAACTGTATCTTCTTCCTAGCGACGGTGTAATTAGTGGTTAATCAAATCAGTTTTTATAGTGCATTAATGAAAGAGGCAGCTTAATTTAAACGTGTTTGGTGCGAGTTTGCATATTAAATGATACTAAATTGTTCTGGAAAAAAAACAGATATCACGGGGCTGAAACAAAGAAAATTTGATTACCCAATGCTGTCAAGCGGCAACTTATTGAAGAATTTGGAGTAAATTTGATCTGCTTTCCTGTTAGTTAACTGATCGACATGGCTTGTAGTTGTGTTAGGAGAAATTTGTCTTTGAACCGTTAGTGCAAAAGTTTACTCAACAAAGATGTTATTTAAAAGGTAACGCAAACGCAATTATAGGCTGACTTAGTAAAAACCAATGCAAATCTATGGATGAACTTGGCAAAATGCATAAGGGCACACTTGTTCCTTCTATTTTATCCGATTAGGTTAAGGGATATGCCCTTTCCGTTATGCTTGAGGACTTAAACTAAGATTTTTCGCAGACAGTCGCACAACGAATACTAGTATACGCAAATGAGGGGCGACCAGAACGAACGATTCTGGCTAACAAGTCGTCATCAGACAGAGCCCTTAACTACAGGACAGCAAACACGAGGCTCAATGGTGAGAGCCGTATGCATTTACTATCGACGGATGACCAAAAACGCGGATTCGAAATGCAACTCCAAAAATGTCTAGGGTTTGGTAAGGGTAGCTGACGATGACTAGTAAATCTGAAACGGCCACTCTAGTCAACCTTGTTCTTATAGGTGCCCTCTTACTCGTTGATACCTATGGTAGTATGTGTAAAGTTTGTATGTATGTTATATACGTTTCTCCTATCTTCTTTGATGAAGTTGTCTGATGACGACTATCAAACTAGAAATCACCATTCTAGTCTCCCCTGTCTTTGGCAGTCTGTATGTTATGTAAGTTTCTTCTTCCTCAACGACGCCGAAATTTGCAAGGTCTTTCTAGTTGCGCGTTGTGGTTTCTACGGCAGAGCAGTAGAGCTTCTTACTTTTATACAGTTTGCAGTCTATGCATGTAAAACTGCAGAGGGCTATTTCTTTTGCTGACGTTACACTAGAATTTACTGAGAACAGTTGAGTATTTATGCATATAAGATCTGTTCCTTTCGCTTGAAAGGATTTCCTAATGAGCCAATCGTAGAAACATATCCGTAGGCAGAAATACATTAACGAAAAAGAAAAAGGAAACCGGAATTGCCATTTCTGGCTTCTTAGTTGTCTTCAGCTAATCATCTCCAATCCCAGGTGGTGCACACCCAAAGCTCGAACCCGAGTCCTGTAAGCTTGCTCTACTAACTGCGCAATTTCTGTTTTTCTTTGCCAGATATGAAAAACAGATATTTATATTTTGGAGATGAAAATGGTTTTCACTACGTCGTATTTCCATCTGTAAGTTCCTGTTAATCATTATTAG